CTTCAGCAACGCACTAGGCGTCGTGCGGTTGGAGTAGACGGGCATCCACCGCAGTACCTCCATCACGGCCTCGTCTGGCTCGCCCGCCGCACGGCCGAGGAGCTCAAAGTACATCTGCCACACCTCGTCGACCAGCCCCAGGGAAACTGCGGCCCTCTTACTCCTACTGGCGGGACCCATCGCATTGACGATCTCCCCTGAGATCCGCGCGTCGCACTTTTTTCAAAACGGGCGTCATCGCTGGGTTTCGGCCGCGTGGCCATCACAGCTTGACCCGGCTCGAAGAATGCTGCAGAGAAATGCGGTCTAGTGTTATGTTGCCCGCATCGTACTCAAGGGCCACATCCCAGAAATAATTTCGAGCACCCAGGCAAGTATCGAAACAATGTCGAACGAGCATCGCCTCCCAAGGCCCGACACGTGAAAACCATCAAGGCCCGACATTTGTTTAGTGATTAAGGCTAAAGTAGGTTGGAACATCACAAGTCTACTGCTCCAGTCGTGATTTCTAGCGATGTTGCATTTTTGTGGCAACGTCGCATCCCAGGGTCTCGAGAGGGGCATCGAAGCCGATGGGTCCCCCAGGGGTTTAGGGACCACCGCTCCCCTGATTCTGGCCGGCCTACCTTGATGCACAGGGAGGCGCAGATGGGCCGCGCCTGCACGAGGAACAGTAAGACACAGCACTTGGGCGTCGCGCAAGGGGGCGGGGACAAATGTGGGGGCAGCGAAGGCTGCAGAACAAGGGCCCTGTAGGGACCCTAAGGGAGCCCTTCAGTGACCCAAAGGGGGCCTTGGGCTCTGGGAAATGTACCATCCTTCTCCTCCCAGATCTATCGCCTCCCCATATTTTTGCTTCCACCGGCTTCCGGCTTCCGCCGGCGGAGCCGCCGCCATTTCACTTCCGCCGCTCTCCGCCGACCTTCCGCCGCGGAAGAAATGGCAAGTCCGTCGATCCTCGAGGGCAAGGCTCTCTCTGGAACGCCTCATTCATCGCCCCTCCCAATTCAGCGACGCCCAAAGCACATATCCACGTACACTTCTGGAGGTCCGCGCGCATCTTTTCCTGGGCCCCCCCTCTCCCGTGCGCGCGGGGCGCGCAAAAAGGGGGGTGACGAGGGGCGCCGCCCGAGGGGCCAAGCGCCGGCCCGAGAGGTCCACGCGGACCTCCGAGAACTTTCGGGAATCTGCTGGCCCGGGTCAGTGCCAACCCGGGCCCGTCAGGCCTTGCAGGATCCTGCAAGATCCTACACAGGGTCCTGCAGGATCCTGCGCCCGAGCCCAGGCCAGTGTCCCCTGGCTCTGCAAGATCTCGCAAGATCGGGCGCTCTGGCTGACCCCCGTTTGCATTGACCCCCGTCTTGGGCCCCGAAACTTAAATCTGTGCATCTTTGTCGGAGCAGGCCGAGACAACTTAGGCCTGCGACTTGCAGTCAAAATGTGTATTGAGGACGGGGGTAAGGAACCAAAACCCTTGGAGGCGGAAGTTGGGATTTTTGGGGCGGCGGGCGACAAAACCCCGAGGGTACCCTAACCCAAGGAGAGGCCAGTGAAAACGGCAAAGGACGGGTCGGCAAGCACACAAGGGTGCCCTAGATGAAGGCGCGCGTCCTTACTAGGCGCGTTGACTGTAGGTCTGAAACAACGGCAACCCAAAACCGGTCCCAAAACCCCTCCCAGGTTCCAAAGGCACCACGTTTCCGAGCTGCGCCCAGCCGTGGCGACGAGGGCCCCCCCCCAAGGTCAACCACGGTTCTCTCAACTCGACCTCTTCTGAAGTTTGTGTGCTCGTCTGACCTCCCAGGACTCGTGCAGCGAGCTCCTCAGCGCCTCCCGCGCCTCGGGCGTCGGGTACGCCTTCGGCTCCAGAGTGCACGGCTCCCCACGCCTCCTCGCCTGCGAGAGGAAGGAACGCACGGCCTGGCGCTTGCCGTATGGCCTCGCCGTGCCGCACCCCCAGATAACCGCCTCATTAAAGATGTGGTTATCGAACTTCTCCCCTCTCAGCGGGTGCATGGCGACCTTCATGGGGACCGGCTCCTCGAGCACGTTCAGGACGTTCGAATCCACCGGCTTGTCCTGCGGACGGGGCACCTGAACACCACCACCGTGCCTGGCCAGGGCCGCCCTGGGCTCTGGCACGGTGCACACGCCCTCCTCGCCGAGGCCGGCAGTGTCTGTACACACTCCCAGCGCCCGGGATGGCCCTCGCCAGCCATGGCGGCGGTGTAGTCAGGTGCCCTGTGCGGATGTCCGCCACCAGAACGGTTCTCGGCCAGCGCTTGCCGCCACGCACGAAGTAGCTGACCGTCGGGTACCACGCGGTCATCTCGCTGGAGAGCGACCGGGCCGTCTCGACGGTGTGGCACTCCAGGAGCTCCTCGTCCGGCTGCAGCTCGCACAGCCTCGTGATGTCCGCGTCCGTGACGGCCTGGACCCTGCTGCGGACCAGGATGGTGTGGTGGATCGACCAGCGGTCTGGCCCCGCGTACAGGATGTCCCCGGGCATGATCTCCTGAGGGGCGGGGGGACTGGCTCAGGGGGGGAAGCATCAACCTGGAGTCGGCGATACGTCGCCGATAGAACGGTGATAACCGATAACCCCCGATAGCGAAGCCGCACGTTCCTGGGGGGGTGGGCTATCGGGCCCCTATCAGCGACCAATGGGCGATTGGGGGACGATGCGTCCCTTCCCGAGCCTCTCCCCTTGTCGTCGGTTTTCGTTTCATAGCTCGGGTCTCTGGCGGCCGTTCGGAACGATCCAGCACCCCCAGAAGCCTGTCCGCGAGGCGCAGCCACTAAGAGGCACCTCGAGACTGGGGATCCGCAAGAACTCACGAAAACATCCGAAAACCTTCAACATCAACCCCCTAAGCCCATTCCCTCGAATGTTGTCCCCGAATATCTTCAACTTCAAACCCCTGAGCCTATTCCCCCTATCGTCGCCCCTGATCTCCTGCATCGTGTCCTTCGGCTGGCCCGTGCCGGCGCTGCATGAGCCCTCTGCAAGACCCGCGGCGCAGGACACGCAGTAGCTCACCCTGCAATGCCCGCACCTCGCGCGCGCGCGAAGCACCGGCCGCAGCGGCACCGGCCGCAGCGGCGCCGACGACCACCACGACGACCACCACGACGAAGACGACCCCGACGACGCAGGGTGCGGGCGCAAACCCTGCAAATGCCCACGCCGGCCGTGCCGCGCGCCCGTGCGCGCGCAGCTCCCCCTCCACTTCCTGCTGCTGCTGCTCCTCCTCCTCCTCCTCCGCTTTTTTTTCTCCTGATGCCGCTCGTCCTGCTCACATCATCCTTGTTGTCGTCCTCCTCCTCCTCGTCCTCCTCCACCTCCATCTCGTGTCCATCTTGTGCTATCCTCTCTTCCCGCCGCTACCATTTTTGTTGTCATACGCCTTCTTCTCCTGCTGATGTTGCTGCTCGTCGTGGTCGTAATTATCCTCCTCCATTCTGATCTTCTCATGCTTTCCAACTGATCCTCTATCTGCTCCTGATCCACATGCTGCTCCCCTGCAGGACGTAACCAACAAGTTAACTTCGTCATCTGCAGCCCGTGCAAGAAACCTTGAGGGCGTCTTTACCTCATCCTCGAGCCAGCGTGGATTTTTCTCGCGGAGCCCATCCCCCAGTACTCCACACCGGAATGTACGGCCGAAGGAGGGGGGACACGCTGGGTGTGCAATGTCTTGTGAGCGTCGCTCGCCGCATTCCGACTCGACCTGCGTGCCCCCCCCTTCGTCACTAGACATCAACCAACGACGCCAACGTTGCCTTGGACGGAGCATCGTGGCAATGTAGCATCCGAGCTCACACCGCGTCTCATCGAGCCCTGTCGAGAAGTACGGGAGACTCTCGCTGCTGCATCGTTGATTCATGTAAACGCCAGGCTTTCTCACCCCCCCGAGATGTGCGGGTTCCCTCTCCCTTGATCTTGCCTCGTGCCTCTGCTCTCTCTCTCTCTCTATCGCGCTATCCCACTGGGGGATCTTGAACCTTTCTGGGTTAAGCTAGGGGTCGGCCTCAAATTGCCTTAGGCCGGGTGCTCCAGAGGCCCACTCCGCAGGCCCACATGTGATGTCCCAAATCCGGAATTGCGAGGCGACATGCGCTTCTGCGAGGCCCTTCGACGGAGCTCTGGAAGCTCTAGAAAGGAACTTCTGGGCAAATGTCAGACAAGGCCATCTGGGACAAACTGTAACATCACAAGAACCGCTGCGAGGTTCCTTGACCGACGCCAGAACGAGCTCTGGGGCTGCCCTTGCCTGCCGGCTTCTAAATCTGCAACTTTCTGAGCAGTCAGAAAGCTATCCGGAAACACGATTCTGGGGGTTCCCGGGAACCGACGCGCGCCGCCATGCCGGGCCGCGCTGCGCCGGGGCGCTGGGGGAGGGGCGCATCGCCCCCGCCGAAGGCCAGGGCACGCAGCTGCTTGCGCTGGGGGAGGGGCGCATCGCCCCCGCCGAGGGCCTGGGCACGCGGCTACTTGCCAGAGGGCGCGCACCACCTCTCGGTCGCCGCCGCTGGGCGGGGGGGGGGCGGATGGCCATTACGTGGCATCGGCGACAGCTCGCCGCGCAGCGATGCTGTCCGCTCATCTCCTCGCCGGGCCGGCGGGCGCGAAGGCGGCAGCTGGGCCCAACGGCTCGCCCCCGCTGAGCAGCGCCTGGAACCTGCCCAGCCACGACACCGCCAGGGCGCAATACGGGCACTACCCCGAGGGGGAAGGGATGCTGACCCGTTCCGCCCCCGCCCCACATCCCCGGGCGTTTCCTGCATCGGGGGGTGGGAAACTTGGATCCTGAGCTGGGAGTCCCTGGGCCACCGAACCTGGTCCTGAAGAGCCGAGGTGGTCGGGGGCTGGGCCTTCGAGACCGTCGAAGACCTCAGGATCTCAGGGGCACCTTCTCAACCCAGAAGGAAGCAGGATGGCTCTCAGAGGACGGAGGCTGGTTGCTCTACTTCACGGACTACAGGGGCGCGTACTGTTTCGGCGCAGCCTGGCCGCTCGTCGCGGGGCTTGGGCTCGCGATTATCCGTGCCGGCATCCTGGCCATGACTGCGCACAGTCTGCGGACCCTCTTTGCCCCGTGCAACTGGTGCGTCTGGGTGCTCAGCAGTCTCGCCCGCATCTTCCAATGCCTTCGGGGCCCGCCAGGCGAAGTGGACGAGCGCTTGCTGCAGGCGGTGTCGCTGCCCACTGTAGTGGTCTGGGCGGGGCCCAGCACGGGTGCCAAAACCACTGCCGAGTACTTCGCCAAGAAGATCTCAAGGGCGGGGCACGAGTCGGAAACTCCAAGACGTGCTCGTCCGAATCGACAGGCACGTGGCTCGCCTCCGCGTCGACCCGCATGCCGTGAACCGCGCCGACCGCTCTGGCCTGCGGATCAACTGCGTCGCGGTGAAGGGGGCCAACACCCGCGCACGAAGGCAACTGCTCGAGCAGGCCGAGCCCAAGAGGGTCCACCTCGACCGCTCGAACGGCTGCAAGATCAAGTATGGGGACATCCACAGCCAGGAATGCGCGGCCCTGGACTCCGAGGCCATCGCCGACGTGGGCGCCCACGCCCAGTTCAACACCTGCCAAGGGTTGACCGTCGCGTGGCGCTTCTTTGCCGGATGGGCCCGTCTTCTCTGGCGCGGCGTCCTGCTCCGTGGGTGCGTGATCTGCCATGGTGGGAGGTGCTGCCGCCGGCGTCGCCGCCGTCGCACGTTGACTGGCAGGGCGGCGCCTGGCACGGCAACTGGCCTCGCCGAGATGCTGGACCAGCAGTCCGAGTCAGAGGTCCAGCATGAGGACCGCCCCTGCGAAGCGGAGGAGGAGGAGGAGGAGGAGGAGGAGGAGGAGGAGGAGGAGGAGGAGGAGGGGGAGGAGGAGGAGGAGGAGGAGGAGGAGGAGGAGGAGGAGGAGAAGGAGCAGGATGAGGAGGAGGAGGAGGCGGAGGAGGAGGGGGGGGGGCGGAAACGCCCGTTGTGCAAAAACTACAAAGCCAGGCTCTCAGGGGAGCGAAAGCGGCTGGGCCTCGGGTCTACTGCCGCCCGCCGATGGGCGCCACGCCGCCGGGTGCCTGTGCGCCCGCCGCGGCTAGGTGCACTTGGCAGCGCGGCTCAAGGTCAAGTGCTCCCAGCTTAGCGACGATCAAAAAGGGGTCTTACGCGAAATGACATCGCGACCTTACGTGGCGGTTTACGCGGGCCGCCCTGACATGCTACCGGGAGGCCGCGGGGACCGCCGTGGGAGTGCCTCTCTGCCTCGTCCACCTGGGAGGGGAAGCCAGTCGTGCAGCCCCAGCGTCGGCGTCACCCGCGCCCCCCGCCGGTTTCTTTGCCAAACTCCGTCGTCGGAACCGCGGCAGCCGCAGCCCGGGGCGCCGGGCCACCTCCAGCGCAGCCGACGCCCGTGGGGACGACCCACGGGGTCCACCACGACGGGGGTCGCCTGCACAGACTACTGGTCTGAGCTCGGTACGGTTCGAGTCACCGCCGGTCCCGTTGCCCAGTCACAGTCCCGAGATAGGACTCGGTGCCATGACAGGCGAGGAGCACGTCGTGGTAAGGGCCCGCGCCCGCTGGCCCGACGGCCCCCAATGGTTTGTGTGCCTTGGCAAGGCTGGAGACGCGACAGAGCCGGACTTCGACGTCAGGATCAACGTCTGCGACCTTCGCGGAGAGGACATCTACGTCAGCGTCAGCTCCGATGGGTTACTGCCATCCCCGAAGGTCAGTGGCACGGGGCGTTTTCCCGAAGGCTTCCTGAAGGAGCTGTTGCATCATCCGCCCCTGGGCATCCACGAGCTCGATATCCCGTGTGGATCAGCTAACTGGGGCCCGACAACTTCCACTGGGACCTCGGCGAGCTACTGGCCTGGGGGCATTTCCGCACGCTCCCCGAGGGCGGGCGGGCCCTGTGCTTCGGGCGCGGCCAGAGCGGCGACTTCGTCGTCACGCCAGGCAGCAAGGCCCCCAGCGGGCTCCCGCCCTGTGGCCGGGCGGTCAGCGGCGCCCCGGCCCCCTCGCTGGCCACCGTGGGCGAGCTCGAGACCCTGGGCTTTCAGGTCGGGCAGCACGGCTTGCGGCGCACACGGCGCGCGGGCCAGTGCGCCCCGCGGCTGCGTCCCGCCTGGGCGGAGGTGCCAAAGGTCGCCGGGCGCGAAGCCCCTCGCGGTCGTGCCCTCCAGCGCGGGCTCGAGCTCGCCGAGGTGCAGCAACAAAGAGGCGGCGAGGGCCGGCGAGGTGCCTGCAGCAGCAGCGCCCAGCCTGGCGAAAGATGGAGCTGGAGCCGACCGAGCGCGCCCCCTCCTTTTCGACGGCCTCGGCAGCGGAGAGCATGCCAAAGGGGTCAGTGGAGCAGGTGGACATGTCAGCCGCGACCATGAAGCTGAAAGGGGCAAAATATCGGGGCCCATTGGCGGCATGGCCCTAGCCAGCAGTCGCGAGCTCCAGCCAAAGCTGGCCGGGAGGAGCGGGCCGAAAAACCCGAGCGGACCAGCCGAAGCACGGGCAGCCTCACCAGCCTGCAGACTGGCTCGCGCAGAGGACGTGGAGGAAGCCCGCTGAGATCCGAGCACCAGGCGCCGCTAGCCTATCGCAGGCTCGGGCGCGCCCCTCAGGAGGCAGCCAGAGGGCGGTCGGAGGAGCCCCCCGCCTCGCGGGCAGCACGGCGCGCCCCGGACGGCCTCGACGACGCCCTCGCCCCGTCCTGGTAGAGCGCCACGCCAGACGCCTCCGTGATCCTGGACCTGGAAGAGCTGTGCTACCAAGCCGAGAAGATCCTCAGCGAGCCTGGCCTTCGGGCTCTTTTAGCGCCAGGTGCTCGCTTTGCCTCCCCCAGGGGGGGCCCTAACTAGCCGCGAGCTGCAGGCCATTATCGACGACTAGCTGGCCATGCTCATTCCCGTGGAACGCGAGATGGGGAGCGAGGACCCCCACTTCGAGCGCGTCCTCAGACCCGCCGCTCGCCCGGTCGCTCCGAGCGCCCACGAGGAGAAGGGCCGAGAAGGAGGCCCGCAGTGTGACTCCTCAGGGAGAGAATCAGCGGCCCCGCCCT